GAAGGACTATTTGCTCTAGATGAAATCAACTCCAAAGTCCAAGCCTTAAGATACGATTCGTAATGATTCTTGAGGGAGAAAAGGTTGTAGGAGGAAATTTTTGTTTTTAAAATTTTTTTAAATTCTTAATTGACAAACAGTGGTACATATTTATGGAGCACAGTGGGGTGTTTTGATATGTGGATACATCGTGGAATGGCTAAATTAAGCTAATTAACATATGCATTATCTCACATACTTATTTTTTGTGGTGCGAATGCTTCAAATCTACACATTTAGCAATTTAATATACAACATATTGTCAACAATGTAATTTACAATATATGGTCATTAATTATCATCTGCATGATGTATAATAGAGCTCTTGAACTTACTCCTCCAGCTTCACTGAAATTTTGTATTCCATAAGAGTCTGTTTTCTGCATCAGTTGGGCTGGGACTGTGGGTTTATTTATTTCCATATATACATTCAACTCGGTGAAAAGCCATACACAGTCAGTGTCTTTCCAAAGTATGGACAGCAACACATTCGTGGACCTTGAAATCAATTCAGTGCATCCCAATTACTATTAACATGGGAGAGAGAAGGGAGCAAAGACGAAAATTCCTTGTATGCATTGCAAGTGTAAGGGTAAGGACAATTTTTAGAACTTTAGTTTCAATTACAATGTGTGTGTGTATGTGTGTGTGTGTGTCTATGTCTGTGAAGTCTAGGTTTCATCACGAGTCTATTTCTCACAGGAATGGCAGTCATTTTGAAAGCCTCTGAAGTAGGGTAACTAAGTAGATCCGTGGTCAGTCCTGCCTCATATAAAAGGGTTTAAATTTTAAACTGGAAATTTGAAAGGATTTTCATCATATGTTAATTACCTTGCGACCTGGTCTTTTATCCTCAGTCCCTTGAGAGAACACCGTTTCTGTCTTGCTTAAATCCATCCTCAGATCCAAGACTCTCTTGTCAGGAGAGTGGCAGTGCTGAAAGAGTTATGACAAGATGATGAGCTGCCCACCTTGGAGAGGAGGAGAGAGACTCTCCTAGAGTCCAAGAGGAGGCTGTGGGGGGCATCAAGAGCCCCCCGTTTATCTGCCTTAGCATCCTTGAAAATATAAAGAAGGCAGGAAGAGGGAAGGTAGTATGGAAGTAAATAGAACACCTACATACATTTAAGGACATTGAAAGGGCGTAGAGAGAAGCAGACCTGGAAATGCTTTGGCAATGAAATGTTTCCTAGTCATTATGGAAATGTTTTTAGGAAGTGAGTGACTCTGGGAAGGATGTGGTCTTCCCTGTGTCCGTGAAATGAAAAGCTGATTGTCTCCGGGAACTAGGAAGTATGTTTGCTAGTGTGGGGTTCAGACACACCTCACATTACCAGAAGTTCATACTTCTATTTGTTTCATAATTTGTTTAATTATCCTTGTGTTTACAGTCTCAAGAAATTGTATCCCAAAATTTAAAAGGGAAGTAGAATTTTGCTTGTTGTACGCGACTGTGGGCACTAGAGGAATACACATTCTTATGTCTTAGTAAGACAAGACATAAGAGGCAAGCCAAATGAAAACTTCCTCTAAGTCCAGAACAAATCAAATAGTGCTGATTTCAGCCTTTTAAAAAATATCACATTTGTCATAATGGCCACCCAGCATGCATGGTGTGAAATGCACGACGTTCATGAGTTTCTGTTATCTATTGATTCACTTTTCTATCACTATCTGTGTCCTTATTCTGGGAAAGACTTCTGGATATGTTATGAACTCCTTTAATAACTCAAGCTGTCATTATGAGTTGTGGGTTAAAAGGACTAGGCTATTTTTACGTGGCTTAGAAAAGTGAAAATCGGGCTTTTCAAAAATTCCAGCTGTAAGCTTTTAAACCATTATGTTGAAAAGAGAGTGAGAATTATTTTGGCCAGTCTTTATTGATTTCATTCTCTAAGACGAAATATTTTAGAGGCCAAACTCTTAAGGACGGAAATCTGGTAGGGTTAGAACTTTGATTTTTCTTGTTCCCATTGTTAGTGTAAAATGGATAAGACTGACCTTCTATTTTCTCTCACTGATAATAAGGGCTATCTGTTGTGGGCCCAATATTCAGGCACAAGTGCATATACCTGGAGGCTGTTGGTGTTCTTCCCATTGTAAGTGACTTTCTGCCCTTATCTGTTTTCATTATTTTGCATACAGTTTTTAAAGATCTGATGGATTTTTAAGCTATTATTATTTATGATTCAACTTATTTTGTGTACATGCAGTGATAAAGTGATGCTGAATAACTGTCATCTCTTGGCTTGTTCAAGGACCAGTGTAAACAAGTGTGCCAGCAAGAACAGATTATTAAAAATATTGATTCACAAGGATTATTAGAATGTAATTTGATCAGATCTTCCAGGGTTGCTTGGTCATGGTTTATGATTTCAGATCCATCAAAGCTAGGAAAAATATTAATGTCCCTAGGGGGGAAGCTATTAATTTCTGAGCAGTATGCAACTTTACAGAAAAGAAACAATAGACATGTTATAAACTTACAACGAAGTTTAGGAAGGAAGCAGTTTAAAATAATTTGCCACGACTACTTCTGTGCCTTAAATGCTGTTTTGCCCCTGGGATTGCATTTATATATTTATATACCTGATCCCTCACCTAGACCCTGAGCTCTGAATAATGGGATCCAGTCTTAACCATCTCTGGACTCCCTGCCTACCATGGTGTCCAGCATATAGCCTAGTTTTTCTCGAGGTAAGGTCTATGAGTCACATTCGTCTGGGGAGTTTCGTTAACAATTCGAGCATCGGGACACACCCACAGGTTTACTACACCAAATAAATGTATGACACAATGGTTCAACATATAAATGAGAAAGCAAAACTCATCTTTGGAACTCCCTTTTAAAGCAAATCTTTGCTGAATAAAGCAAACACCGTCTGCCTTCTGAGGTGAACTACATCCCAGGATGATAGGTAAATACAATGGCTTTGAAAAAGCAAGTATCAAGACCAAGGCTCCTGGATCACGCCCTCCACTCAGTGCCAATGTGCTTGCTGCCCACCAGATGAGCTTTTTTGAGCATCTGAAGTGCCAGGTCGTTTGAGTACTAAGATAAATGAGTCACAAGGTGGGTGCACTTAAAGTCCAGACTTCTTTGCCACTATACAATGCAACCATGTAACCAAAAACTATTTGTATCCCCTAAAACTATTGAAATATGGCAAAAAAATTAAAAATACAAGGTCTGACAATTAGGTCTGTGAACTCATCCTAGAAGAAGTGCTACATACCTCATTGCTGAATAACACTATAGTCACCTTTGAAGTACTACTCTTGGGAAGCTCTTCACTGACACCAGCGTCTAGTCCACCCACAAGGCAATTTTGGAACTCTTTTTCTGGAAGGGTCATTAGAGCTGTCTTCATTTATTGGGGTCTGACAATTAAATTCACGAACCTGTCACCATGCACTTAGGTTGGCAGCACTGTACAAATAACTGTATTGGAACACCCTCCCTATTCACCTGATCTAGCCCCCAATGACTTTTTTCTTTATCCAACTATAAAGGAACTATTGAAAGGGATACATTTGATGACATTCAGGACATCAAGGATAATATGACAATAGCTCTGATGGCCATTCCAGAAAAAGAGTTCCAAAATTGCTTTGACGGGTAGGTTGACTTGGCGCTGGCATCAGTGAATAGCTTCCCAGGAAGAGTACTTTGAAGGGGACTGCAGTGATACTTAGCAATGAGATATGTAGCACTTTTTCTAGGATAAGTTCATAAACTTAATTGTTGCACCTCATAATTAAAAAATAAAAAAGGCAGAAACTTGAGTCAGGAAGATTTGGTTTGCATCAGCCTTTGCTACTTACTATCCATATGAATTTCGGCAAGTGACTGTACAACCCTAAGCCTATTTTCTCTTTTGTAGAATAGAAATAATACCTGCATTGTAGGATCGATGTAAATATTAAAGGCAATAATGCAAGTAGAGGGCTTTGCAAGGTGCTTGGAATATAGTGTGCTCTTAATATGTATTCGCTTTTCTTTTCTTTTTTAATTAACAAGCTCACATTCCAGATAGGGATGAGCTTTTTAGAAAACACAGGAACCATGGAAATAAGGAGTTACGTGTCAGTTAGATTTTGTTTTGCGACAAAGCACCCCAAAACTTGGTGACAGAATATTTATTGACTCATAATTTGGTGGGTCGGCAATTTGGGCCAAGTTCAGCTAGGACGGCTTATCCCTGTTCTAGGTTGTGTCATCTGGGCACACTTGTGTGTTGTGGTCAGCTGGCAGTCCATGGTGTTACCTATGTATGGACAGAGACTATAGTGGTAAGTGGGCCAGCGGGACACAAGGTCATGGCTATGGGCGTCCCAAGAGCAGTTAGAGAGAGAGAGTGTAAGCCTCAATGACAAGTATTTTTCAGGCTCTGCAGCTAAGGCACATGGCCAAGCCCAGATTCAATGGGCAGAGAAAGACTACCTCATGATAGACAAAAGGTTGTTCATAGAGAAATGGGAAGAATTTGTAGCCTTTTTTGTAATCCACACAGAATGGGTTCACCGACAGTTTCCTCTCTATCAGGCTTTAGGCTGGGTGATTAACAGGTCATCCATTTAATTCTCACAACAATTTCCTCACATGGGTGGCATTATTCCCACTGCAAAGATGAGGAAACTGATTTTCAGAAAAGTTAAGAGATTGACACACACTAGACCCAGATTGTTTGCTCCGACTCATGGAATGCCTTTGAAGTGCTGTCTCTTGTTGCTTAAGGGATCAGATAGCCTGTCATGCAGAAGGTGTATGCTTATTTAGTAACAATCTATTTTAAAATGGAGTTCCAAAGACTCATTTTACTTTCTCCCGTGTATATTGAACCATTGGGTCACATATTTATTTGGTGTAGAAACAAAATCAAAGTTTCCCTATCTTTAAGACTTTCTGGAAGCTTACAGAATGTGTGTTTTTATTTCTTTCTGTGTTTGCTTTTTGCCAGGCCAACTACACAACCTGGATCTCACCGCAGCTTGGACATGACCGAGCCTCGTCAATGGACAAGACGTTGCTGGCAGCGGCTGATCGGTGGTGCAGCCAGGGATGATGGCGAGAGATCATACGACTATTCCTCACTGCTCGCCTGTGGGGGCAAAGTCTCTCAGACCCCCAGACCAGCAGGAAGGCACCGGGTTGTTGTTCCCCACCTCTGGCCCTTCAAGGACGAGTATGAGAAATTCCCTGGAGCCTACGTGAATAACCGAATACGCACAACAAAGTACACACTTCTGAACTTTGTGCCGAGAAACTTATTTGAACAGTTTCACAGGTACCACCTTATTTTTGTCATCTTAGTTGATATATACAATTTTTCATTTTCACAACACTGTGTGTTACTTCGGACTCGGGACATCATCCTTGACAATTTGGATAAGAGTCTGTTGAGGATGGTGACCCCTCACATTACAGTGCACTTCACAATTGGTAAGAGACTTTCTCTTTATCAGAAAAGACATTACTATCCTCATATAATAGATTAGGGAATGAATTGGCAGTGGTTTGGCCAATGTCATGCCAATGACAAGTAACAGAGCAGAGGCTACAGTCTTGGGTTCCTTCCTTCTTGCCTTCTAAGCTGTGCTGCATTTTAACTTCAGATTTGTCCCTTTTTTTTTTGAATCAGACTCACTCTGTCACCCAGGCTGGAGTGCAGTGGCACCATCGTGGCCACTGTAGCAGCCTTGACTGGCTGGACTCAGGTGATCTTTCCACCTTGGCCTCCCAAGTTGCTGGAACTACAGGTGCCTGGCTAATGTTTTTATTTTTGTAGAGACGAGGTCTCAAGCTCCTGGGCTTGAGCAGTCCTCCTGCCTCGGCCTCACAAAGTGAGATTATGGGCGTGAGCCACTGTGCTGGGACAGATTCTTCCTAATCGATAATGTAGGGAAACTTGTTCTTAAACAAATGTAGTTGTGAGAAGTTATTGGGTGAAACAGTGGTGTCATTAGGTTTACTGTGCCTTTATTGACACTCTCCTATGAGTTTAGGCACTGAAGAAGTCGAAGTGTGAATGTTGATCTGTCCTGGTTTAGTTTGCAGTTGAGCCAGGAAAACAAGATATGTATACAAACAACAGGAAGATACAGTGGATGTGGTGAGCACCTCAGATAGAATGGAAGCCTCAGAGAGCAAAGTACTAATATCACCTGGAGCAACAGAAAGGGAAGGAAGTAGCACTGGACTTAATTATGGAGAGCTGGTGAGACATTCAAGGCAGAGGTTGGGCAAAGCATATTAAGATGGAGGAAGGCAGATGAGTAAATGGTAGCATAGAAGACTCGCCTGCAGTCTGGGGCATGGTCCTCTCTGGTTTACACATAGTGTCTCTGCTGGGGAGCAATGGGAAGTGAAGTTGGAAAGGCAGGTGTGACTCACCAGGGGCGTCTTGATGTCAGGATAAAGAGTTGAGAGCCAGGTCTGCAGGCACAGTTCTGAGTAGAGGGATGCCGTGCCGTGTCTGTGTTTCACTGGGGAGGCAGTGAAGTGGCTAGAAGGAAGAGCACAGAGGCAAACTGAAGGTAGAAAGAACATTCAGGAAGATGCTTGACCTACCCTGGTAAGTTGTGACGGAGACCTGAACTTAGGACAATGTGGGAATGAAAACAGAGAACCTATGACAGATATATGAAGTTGATGTGAGGAATTAAGTGAAAGATGTAAAAAGATGATGTGAATATGTTAGTCTTTGATGACCAGAAGAATTAACAGAAAAATAAAAGACAGGAGTTAAAAAAAATTGACTTTTGTGGTTTTTGTAAAAGTTATGTTTGGGATGCTCATATGCATATAGAGACCCTCAACGTCCATTATTCATTTTATGTGTGTTTACTCTCATGATTCATTCTATATTAGGTGTTCTATATATGTTTATTAGGCAGTGGCTACATTTAAAGTACAGATGTTAATTTGTTGAATTGATGGCTTTAATGCTATAGGTGTTTCTGTCTTTTATGGAGTTTGCTATCTAGTGCATTTGATGAAGTAAGAATCTAAAGCCTCGAGTTCAGGGATAGAGCTGTAGGTCTGAATGTAGTCCACACTGAAGTCATAGAAATAGAAGAAAGAACTAAGAAAGAAATTATCAGAGTTAAAGGACTTGGAGGTAAAGATGGAGAAGTATGCTTAGTCTAGGTGCAGTAGCTCATGCCAATAATCCCAGTACTTTGGGAGGAGTTCGAGATCAACCCAGAAAACATAGTGAGATCTTGTCTCTACGGAAAAAAAAAAAAAATTTAAAAATTAGCTGGATTTAGTGGCATGTGCCTGTAGACCCAGCTATTTGGAGGCTGAGGCAGAAGGATTGCCTGACCCTAGGAGGTTGAGGCATTGATGATGGTGACACTGCATTCCAACCTGGGCAACAGAGTAAGACTCTAACTCAAAAACAAAGCAAAACAAACAAAACACAAAAAAAGGAGACGCATATTTCGATTATTTTTTTAGTAGTTTCATGGTCAATGGGAAGACACGTGATTAAAAATTCAAAGGCCTTTGCAGGATTGAGATTTTGTTTTTTCTCTAAAGAAAAAAGTGTCTTGAACTTACCTCATGGCAAAATATGAGAAATCAACGGAGAAGTATTGTATATGTGAAACAGAGGAATGAAAGGTCCTGAAAAAAGTGGTTCTGAATAGCATAAAAGAAGAAATAGAAGGGTTAGTGTCAAGACCATAAAACTGTATTTTCTACTTATTTTGAGCCTTGTTTGAATCTAACGTTCAGACATACAAAACATAGAAGGTAGATGCTGGTTTTATTAATTAACTATGATTCACTCTGAAATATTGCTAAATTTCCTGAACTTTTAAAAAGAAAACGGTGCTTCCTTTTACGCTTTTTTTGGGTCATGTGTTACACAGCTCAAGACCATTCCACTCAAATATTTACTATTACCTATCTGATAAATCTCACATTTATTAAAGTATGGCACAAGCCAGATGTCCAGGAGGGTAATTGTTCACTCAGTGGTGTTATAATTTGCTAGTTTTCTATCCTGAAGCATACAAAAATCAGCGAACAGAAACTTTTAGGAAAACACAATAAACTATTTTGCCTCTGACTCCGGTCCTCAGAGAAATGTGTTAACATCCCCTGTTGTGTGTTTTTGGGCTACAGAGTCGCCAATTTATATTTCCTGTTCCTCGTTGTCCTGAACTGGGTGCCCCTGGTGGAAGCCTTCCAGAAGGAGATCACTATGCTGCCGCTGGTAGTGGTCCTTACAATGATCGCAATTAAAGATGGCCTGGAAGATTATCGGAAATACAAGATTGACAAACAGATCAACAACTTAGTAACAAAAGTTTACAGTAGGTAAGTATAATAAGAGCTTTGCCCGACAGTGTGAGTAGGGGTCATTTGGAAACATGTGCAATGTTTCTTTTTCCCCTCTAGGTGTGACCAGGATCCTTTTCATGTTGTTGTGATGATTGTTTTCAACAAATAATTCTTAAATTTCTACAGTGAATTTAACTTGTGTCAGAGGAAAACAAAAATGTATAAGCCATTGTCAACCCAGATTTGACAAAGTAAAAGTTTATAACTCAAGTATATGAGATAGATTTTTAAAAAAAAACCCAGAATTATCTTTTGGAGGGCAGAACCCTTGTAGTATGGGCTTCCCCCACTAGGTGAGTGTTCTAGGAACCCATCAGCATCAGCTAGCATTGTTGTGAGAGCTGCATTTGGCTTCAGTGAGTTTTTTTGGAGATTCTTTCACTGCTTTTGCTCATTCATGATGAGTGATTTACAAGCACACCTACCCACACTCAGCAGTTTTTGACCAAACACAGCATGACCCCTGTGCCCCATCCTCCCTGTTCACCTGATCTTGCCCTGAGTGACTTATTTTGGTTTCCTTGGATGAAAAAATCCTCAAAGGGAAAATATTTTGCTGATATGGAAGACATGAAACAAAAAATGGCAGAAGTGCCAAAAGCATCAAACTGGAAAGTTCAAAAACTGTTTTGAGAAGTAGAAAAAGTGTCTTGATGGGTGTATTGCATCAGAGAGCACTTGAAAGATGACTGAAGTTGAAACATGTAAGAATAAACACAATTTTTTTATAAGTAGGTTTTGGGGGTGTTCCCCTTCATAAGTGAAATTGAAGAAATTAAACTTCAAAACACAAGAAAGCAAGGAAGCAGATAGTGTTCAACCTTGGATGTTATAATTTAGGATTAAGAAGAGGCTGGGATAGTTGGGCACAGTGGCTCAGCCTGTAATCCCAGCGCGTTGGAAGTCCAAGGCAGGAGGATTGCTTGAGCCCAGGAGTTCGAGACCAGCCTGGGCAACATGGCGAAACCTCGCCTCTAGAAAAAATAAAAAAAATTAGCTGGGTGTGACGTACATCTGTAGTCTCAGTTACTGGGAGGCTGAGATAGAAGAATCTCCTGAGCCTAAGAGGTCAAAGCTGTGCTGAGCTGTGATTGTGCCATTGCCCTCAAGATGGGTTACAAAAAAAGAGAAGACAAGAGCTATATTGTAAAAAATGGAGAAGAATATTCTTTCTTATGTACAGAACTAGAGGCGACCCATTAAAATAGTCAAGAGGGCATTCCTAAATAAGGGTGTTTCAAGGGCATATTTGCAGTGTTGGAGACTTGTATTTCCAATATTTATGAAGTAGAGAGTCTGTGTAGCCAAGAATAAACTAAATTAAGGTACATTTCAAACTGTGCCATATGTTATATGCAGTTCCTGAGTTCTTAGTCTTTGATGTAAGTCAATACTTCATAAACAGTATAGACAGGTATAACCTGTCTTCAATTTTATGTGATCCAAAGAGGAAAAGTTAGAAAAGGTTTCTATGAAGAAATGGTATTTCTTCTGAAACTTGCAAGATTCTGAATTTTTTTATTATTATAATTCTTCAGTGGCTTTCACAGCATTTGTTTTAAAGATTTATCAAGAGAATAAGGAAATAACTTTTTTCCTCATTTGTAAGATGATGTGAAATTTCTTGAATAATAAAAACTATTTTTATACCCGTCCAATCTAAAAGGAACCAGAAAAATTGTTGTGTTAAAAAGTGAAATAATAGCAGAAGTCCATAGTTTTTATTTTAACACCACAGAGCCTTTTATTACAATAGTTCTATGGATTGTTCAACAACATGTGAATGTTTATTATATCTCTACAAAGGTGAAATGTTGGTACAACATCTATGCTCAAAAAATTGCTATAATATGGTATTTCACAATGATTACATGATGAACAAAGTCCAGATTTTGACCAATTATAAGATTACCCTGTTAATGCTAAATTTAGCAAATGGAAAAAATCTTATTATATATAATTTTAAATACAAATTCTTATATATAAATAATCACTGATTTTTAGTGCTAGTGTAGAGTTCATAATGTGTATTTATTTGCTTTTCTAGGTGACTCTAAAAAGTTATAATCTTGATTCTCCAATTTAGCTGTATAGTCTTTGGCAAATTACATAAGCTAGCTAAGCAGCTAATTTCCTTCATTACAATTAAAATCATAAAATTTACTGCATAAGGTTAATTGTGATGGCTCATTCCTATAATCCCAACACTTTGGGAGATTGAAGCAGGAGGATTGCTTGAGCCCAGGAGTTCAAGACCAGCCTAGACATCATAGCCAGACTTTGTCTCTACAAAAATCAAAAAATTAGCTAGGCATGGTGGTATGTGCTTGTAGTCCCAGCTACTTGGGAGACTGAGACAGAAGGATCATTGGAACCCAGGAGGTAGAGGCTGCAGTGAGCTATGATTGTGCCACTGCACTCCAGTCTGGGTGACAGACTAAGACACCGATTCAAAAAACAAGCAAGTAAGGCTAGGTGTGGTGACTGTCACCTATGATCCTACCATTTTGGGCAGCTGAGGCAGTAGGATCACTTGAGCCCAGGAGTTCAATACCAGCCTGGGCAACATAGTAAGAGCTCATCTCTACAAAAAAATTTTAAAAGTTAGCTGGGTTTGGTGACCCACAACTATAGTCCTAACTACCACCTGATCCCAGGAAGTTGAAGCTGTAGTGAATTGGGATCATGCCACTGGAATACTAACACTGTGTTCCTGCCTGAGTCACAAAGTGAAAGCCTATCTCAAAAAAAAAAAAAGTAACCACAAAAAAAGAAAAAACAAATACATACACACAAAACTCTTACTGTATAGCACCTAGTCTTTTCTGAGTACTAAGTAAAAGACATCATGAGTATTATCATAAGCTAATAATGACTAATCATGAGAGTTTATGTTTGTCACAACATCAAGTCATGTAATCAGCATTTGAGAACTTATAACACTGTGCTGTTTTTAAAATATTAAAATTGCTTAATAGAAGACCCAGTGTAACTTATTTTCTTGGGTGTTCTTTTGGATAGAGCCTAGATCGATTTTAGATAATTTTCATATAAATTTAAAGATAAGAGGCAATATTTTAGTTAACTAAGGTCCATTCTAAAATATCACTTTATGATTACCTTTTCTAATAGACTCAGGCAACTTTATGTCTTTCTATCTATATTCTATATCATTTGCTTTTGTTTGATGTTATAGAAATAATGCTTATGTTTTTCCCCAAATTATTTTTTGAGAAATTATTATAAGGATATAAAAAATAAAGACAGGCTATAAAACCTTGCCTTGGTAATTTAAATATGCTACTTAAATTCCTATGAAATGCAAAGAAATCGATTTAGAAAACAAATGATTTCTCAGCAAATTTAATGTGAAAGTATGGAGATATTGAATATAGCAAGCTTTTGGGAGAAGCATATTAACATTTCCATGCAGATAATTTGGTTCTTATTTGTAATATGAGTTCTTTCACAAGGTGCTTAATTTTCTGAGTGAAGGTCTCATTTGCAATAATAACCACTAGTCTAGAAATTAATCATTTAAACCCTATTAAGGCTCGGTGGCTCAGCCTGTAATCCTGCGCTTTGGGAGGCTGAAGTGAGTGGATTGCCTGAGCCCGCAGATTCGAGACCCGCCTGGGCAACTTGGGAA